TGTATTGACTTTTCTCATACTGCAGACAATACCGTACGCTAATTGTTTAAAAAAAAAAAAAGTTTAACAAGTGTTTTTATGTCTGTAAGTCCAGTTTCACTGTATATATGCAGATGTCCACTGAAGGTCCAGCTAAACCCCAGTCATGTCCTCTGTGTAGGTATGCTCCAGAATGTCTGATTAATCGAAAGTTCTATAAGGCATCTGATGTTTGGTCATTTGGGGTCACTCTCTATGAAATCATGACCTACTGTGACCGTGAGAACAGCCCTCCACGGGTGAGCATTACAAACCTGATATTAAATACATCAGGTATTATAATCACAGAGACTCATCTGCTAATTCCTGTTCTTGTATTTTTCTCTGGTAGGTATTCCTGAAGATGATTGGCCGGTCTCAGGGGCAGATGACCATGGCCAGGCTGGTAGAAGCTCTTGAGAAAGGCTGGAGGATGCCACGTCCAGATTCGTGCCCTGAAATGGTGAGATATCTCTTTTCTCTGACTTTTTATTGTATTATATTATATTACGGGCAGATTCTTCAATAGACGTGTGTCTGTGGCTGCAGGTGTACACTCAGATGCACAGTTGCTGGAGTCACGCCCCAGAAAACAGAGTGGACTTCAAGGGCCTGATCAAAGAGTTTGAGTTTCTCCTCACTAGTGAAAACATCTAGCTTCCATTCATCACATCAGTTACACCTACACAATTCAGAGTCATGTTGTATTTGTATGGTAACTTTCTCATTATACTAAGAAAACGATGCATGTTACTTTCTCTTTAAATCTTTGCCAGTTAATCATCTACCTCCAAAAACACTCTGGTAATACAGTGTATTCTTACTAGGTTAACACACCACTCAGCACTTAACAAGTATCAAGTAATAAAAAGATTCATTTATAAAATCTGAAGCCGCATCAAATCTAGGGCCAGATTTACTAATAGCTTACACTAGTACAAACCCTCTTTAGGCATTAAAGTGCCCCTATTATGGATTTTTGAAAATTACCGTTCATGCAGTGTGTAACACAGCTCTAAGTGAATGAAAACATCCTGCAAAGTTTTAAATCTGAAAGTGCACCGTGTATAAAGTTATTGTCTCTCAAAATAAAGAGTCGACTCTGAATCATTGAAACGAGTCATTTTTAAAACGAATTCCAAGCCGTTTCATGTTGACGTCAACGTCAACGCTGCTTTATCAGGCGTTACAGGCATGATGAAACGAAAATGAGACCAATCGGACCAATCACCGCAGATTAGCGTCATGCAAAAGAGGGGTTTGGAAAAATGAATCGTTGAGCGAATCGTTTGGGAGTCGTTGAGCAAGTAAGGTAAAAATAAATGCATATTATAAGACAATGAAAGAGTTTTTTGACCTTGCATGCATGTCAGCCTGTTGTTGGGGACTCCCAAAACCAAAATATGAACCTTTCATAACCCATAATAGGGGCACTTTAAAAAAAAACTACTGTTATGATTTACTAAAGACATGCAGTGAAAAATTAGCGTGGACAATTATTTTTGTGGCTGACCTTATGCATTTGTAGGAGTTTCCTTTTCAAACGCAAAATTTTAGTATTTAAATTAATCATGCAAAGTAATTTACTAAGGTTTATATGCTAGTCAATTTACTGTATTTGTGTCATTATTTAAAGCCCAAAAAGCATGTTTTAATTACTGATCTATATATAATGATCTCTATTATAGATCAGCAGTGTTGGGGGTAACGCATTACAAGTAACGCAAGTTAAGTAATCAGATTACTATTTTCAAGCAACTAGTAAAGTAATTCATTACTTTTTAATTTACAAGAAGTTACTTTTTTCAAATAAGTTATGCAGTTACTTTGTTTTCCCATGTTGAATTTACATTTCCTTCAGCCTTTTACATATACAAAAATGATAACCTTTTTATAATAGAAACAATCAAGCAAGCCAAGCCCAGATGAGAAAAAGTACTGCAAAAGTAATGTAACACATTACTTTCCATAAAAAGTAACTAAGTAACGCAAAGGAGTAATGCAGTATTGTAATGCATTATTTTTAAAAGTAACTTTCCCCAACACAGTAGATCAGTGGTTTTAACCCGTTTTGCACTTGACACAAGTTACTAATTTGCTCTGCTCTTGGTAGACTGCATTGGTCATTATGGAAATGATCTGGATGCATCTGTGTTCTTTAATTTGCTTATTTTCAGTAAATCGCACACAGAACTTTACACTCCTACTAGTGCTTTTATGGGATTGCGATCTCATGCCAATTAGCATATCTGGCCCATAATGTATAAACATATATGATTTATTATTTTATGAAAGATAAAACGCAGAGGTGCCTTAATATCACAGGGGGCATATTTGTTGTATTTACTAGCTAATCTATAGCGGCTTTTCCACCGTCAGGCTGAGCGGTTCTAAGAACGGCAAGAAACGGTTCCAGTTTCCACTTCAGCTCGGTTGTGTGTAGTTTCTCTCTATTGCTGGTTAAGTGTGCTATTTGAGAGAAGCAAACAGAAATATCTCATCATCCTTCATAATACAGTCACTACTTACATCTCATACCATACTGTATGTAAATACTGTACTTGCATTACCATGGCAACGACTGATACATCTGTATTACGAGCTCTGTTATCAGTGCCACAGTGGAAAACCAAACCATATCCTTATCCGAAACCATAATGGAACAGTTAAGCAATGAGAACCTGATGATGGAAAAGCGGCTTAAGACAGATAGACAAGACAGACAGATAGATAGATCTATTAAAATGCAAGGTGCATATATATATATATATATATATATATATATATATAGTCATGAATGTCATTTCATTTTATTATTTTTTTTTAAATAGTCTTACTGGTTGTTGTATTCAGTTGATTGTACTGTAAACTTTTTAATCATCAAAAAAACTTGTGATATCTAAATTTGTGTGTACAGTTTCATCTAGTTCTTTGAAAGAAAGGGAGTCAGTCCATTCCAGCAGTTCGTCCATTTCTCGCTCCCAGTGTTCCTGCTCATCTGGACCCAAAGCAGCACCAGGAGTCTGGGGGGTCAGCGGGTCTAGTGGGACACACAGCAGAAACTGAGGTGAGGTGGGATCTCTAAAAGAACAAACAGACTGATCTACAGGAGGAATCACCTGGAGCTTTGCACTGCGTGTAGAGTCTTCTCATGCGTTCCACCCGCGTGCGTTTCGCTTTGGTGTGTTTCTTCGGAAGCTTCTGAACAGGGCTGCACATAATGACCATAAAACTTAGAATTACAGTGTTTAGAGTCTTTTACTGTGCTGGAGCTTATTGTAAGGGTGTTCCAATATCAAAAAAGTATATATGTAAATGTAAAGCACATTATATCCACTGAATAAAATCATAGATTGATTGTAGGAGGTGTACAATTTAAAGTTGAAACAGTCTATGGAGTGCCGTTCTTAAAGAGACACTACAACTAATACTTTCTATTCTGCTTTTTAATAACAATAAGTCCTTGCATGGAAGCACATTTCCATTATACTGTATAAGAAGCATGCTTTGGTAAATCATAATTATGACAAAAGTCAAAAGGTAAAGTTTAAATAAAAAATGATAAAACAAAAAGTAAAAATTATGAAGTCATAATTATAACATAAATGATAATTAAAACAAAAAGTAAAAATTATGAAGTCATAATTATAACATAAATTATAATTAATAATTATGAACTAAAAAGTCATAATTGTGACTAATTTTGACTTTTCAGCTAATACTTTTGACTTGTCAATTTCTAGTTTTTATTTCAGTAAAACATATTTAATGATGTCAATTATGAAATAACGTGTACAACTTATAACTTCTTGTTCAACTTTTTAGTTAATAATTATGACTATTTAATCTAAACAAGTTGTAGTTTGCAATTGTGGTGCCACAAGGAGCTGAGATACAATGAACCTTATACAGGAGTCCATAGCAAAGGGAATAGTGTGATATTATGAGTGCCCCTTTATTTCAGAAATGTAAACTATATTTAATTTAAACTAAATTGTTCATTATTTTTTAACTGAGCTTGTATGAAATTAGTAGAAATGGGTAACACCAACTGACATGTTGCGCTGTGCTTGAACGAGATGATCTGTCTTATTGCCATTTGACCGGACTGCACATCTGTCTCTACAGTTGATGAATTCATCTGAATCTAAAATGAGAAATATCAATTAATTTTGGCAGACCATCTCCACATCAGACTCTAAAAATACTATTAAAATTGATCTATGTAAGATGTTCTCAAATATAAATTAAAAAGTTGCAAAGATTGCAAATAAAGCACTAACAGTAGATTTGATGATACTCTCTTTTTATGTACAGTATTCCACTTTAAATAGTCATATCAAATCACTTACATTCGTTTACCATCAGAAGTTCTGGGTTAGTGGTGGCAATTTTCATCCATATGCTGAGATACCCCTCAAAGGCAATTCTACACACTTGTCTTGAAAAGAAGAGGAGCCAGTTTGTTTACAAAGCCTATATTTTTATGATATCCATTACAAAACTTGACAGTGTCTGAAGATTAGTGGTCTTGCCTCTCCCTTGACTTCAGCCCCACACCTTCAGAATCTGTATTTGAACAGGTAAATAAAAAAACTGAAAGTATTGTCATATGATTTGGATTTTTGTGTGTTACATAGAGAATTGTGTGTTGTGTTTTGCAAAAAGTTTTATGAAATTGAAGTCAAAGGCCAAGAATTAGTGTATGGTTTTGCAGATTTGGCGTGTGGTTCTGGTGTTTGAGTGTCTGGTTTCAGAAATTCTGTGACAAGTAAAAATTTTGTGTGTAAGCAGTTGAAAAAAACAGTAAGAACATTTTTTATTTTTGTTTACCTACATGTCATGTTACCATTAACTAACGTCAGAGAACCGTGAACATGCACATGTGAGAGAAAGGAAAAATTTTAATCGCATCATATGACCCCTTTAATATAATCTAATTACAAGTACCTCCTTTTTGGAATCTGATTACGTAATCCAGATTACATGTAATCAGTTACTATCCAGCACTGCGTATGAAACATCAAATTTTAGAAGTATAAGTTCCCTATAAAAAAGAAGTCATAATTTACCTGTGGGTCCTGAAAGAGCTTGTTTATATCTTTCTCATAACTGTCGATATACAGACGAACTGTGGCTCCGAAGCTATCGCTCCCACTGAGACGAAAGATTATGCGAGAACCTCCTTTAAAAACGATCCGCAAACCCTACAGGGAATGTTTACATGTTAATAACAGTATCCCTGTGACAAATGCCTGCTTTTTTTCTGATCTTTTCATACTGACTCAACAAAGAGGATCCACTATATTACCTGGTTTCGTGAAATGGTTCCATCCACAGGGTCACTGTACTCAAAATTGTCTGCCGCCTCCACTTGGTATTTCTTTTCCCCCACAGTAAACACTTGCCCAATGAATGCCCTGTCTGAAATCATCAGCTCCAGATCCAGCATCATCTCCACAGCCGCATCTAAATCCACTTCCTCATAGTCAAATCTGTCAAGTATAAACATGTCGTCAATCAAATGTCTGACTAGAGTCTAGACTGTATGTAGACGGCATCTTTTGCTGATAGTGCACCTAGTGTAGTAGTTCCTTCCGTAGGTTCTCCAGTGGTCTGTCATAATGTCTTCTACACTTTGCCTCCTCGCTGCTAGGATGGACATCCATGCTAGCACTGCCCAGAGCCCATCCTTCTCTCGAATATAATCAGAACCTATGGAGAGGAGTTTCTTTAACTGTGGCACATTTTTATGTTCCAAGGATTAAAAATAATAAGAAATATTTTGTTGTCACGTTGAAACTGTACTGGATGCTCAAAATGTAGTTTATGTATAGAATTCAGTGTTTTTTTACAGTCTATGTGTGGTACATTCATTACCTGTGCCAAAACTTTCCTCCCCACACAGCGAGAGACGACCTGCGTCCATCAAGCTCCCAAAATACCTCCACCCGGCTGGGGTCTCATACAGCTGGATCTTGGTGGCTCTGGCCACCCTGGATAAAACAGCAGAGTGAGTGGAGATGCTGCTTGTCCTGTTAAGTGCACATCTACACAGTGTGAAACATTTAGGAGTAATATTCACATGTCCAGAGCGGCACTTGGTGGGCATACTCCTAGCAAAGCCTCTTACTCCTGTGTGCTGGAAGTAAGGAATGCAGAAGATGTTCGCAGCAATGACGGCAACTGAGTCGGAGGGGTTTACGAAGAAGCCGTGCTTCCCCAGGATCATATTACGCTCCTAGAAAGAGAGAGAGAGTGAGGCCAGGGTCAAGAAAATGTTATGCTGACTGTCACTTGAGCACATCTGCTTGGGTCAAAGGTCGTACAGCAACATCGATCTCAATGTTTCAACACCTACACCATCACCATCAAAAGCAGCTCCGAAGTCATACTGTCCGCTCTTCATCGTCTCAACAAGGTCAGTGGCATAGGTCAAGTTGGGGTCTGGGTGGCCACCTCCAAAGTCCTCCAGAGGTACACAGTTGATGGCTGAATTTGCAGGGGAGCCCAGCTCCTCACACAGGATCTTCTTCACATACGGCCCAGTCGCTGCAGAACCAATAGAGGTTTAAAGAGTCAGTGCTTTTAAAGGTGCAGTATGTAATATTGAAATGGTTACCGAAGTCCAAATTCAAAATATTGGAGAAAGTTTTTTTCTCCCGCTCCCTCCTCCTGCTGTAAGACTGGATGCTCATACGGGTTGCCAGATTGAGGACATGCAACAGTAACAAGAGTAACTGACAATGGAAGGTAACAAGCCTTACACTGCAAGTTGTTGAGCTGATTTATATGCATTTCAATATGCCTCTCGTCATTGAGCTTTTTAGATGGATGCCAAGGCTTTTTAGGTTGGGCAGAATCTATGATCTCTGACCCAATTCATTTGCTGGCTTCAGTGGCTGCAATATGCTGTGTTTTCCGTCTACTGGCAACCCAGCGTGTGTTGGCAATGGATGAAATCACACAGATCAAAACAAATACAGACACTGCCAAACAGAATGCATATTTCAAAAGTAGAATAATTGTAGGAGAGTTGTTTTTTGGAGAAACAGGTATGTGAACTTACCATGTTTCCAAAATATCTGCATACATATTATGATACTTTTATTCTTAAGCACAGTCAAAAAAATTATAATAAAAAATTACATACAGCACTTTTAATGCAATACAATAGAAGACCAATGGCCATTTAGGCATTAAAAAACTACTGTCCGGATTTACTAAAGGCACGGAGTGAAAAATTAGCACTGAAAAGGTGTGGACACAGTTAGAGCATTCTCATAGATTCAATTTTATTAAACTAAGCTAATTTCTATAAAACCTTATTAAGCCCTTTATTAAAACATTTATAAACCATGCAGACATAAGAAATACTGGACTGTTAAAATTCAATTAAAGGAATTGCCATAGACGTAAAAACCTATATTACCCTTGTGAAAAAAGAAGTGCACTTAATTTTATTGAATCTGCACTTCAAATCTTAGAAGTATATATATCATATTAATTCAATATAAGGCCACTTAAATGTATTTAAAGAGAGTACACTTTCAAGATGTTTCTTACACTTAAGTACACAATTTGTTTTGTTGTGTTTAAGAAGTATGCTTATTTTGATGAAGACTAACATAGTACATCACGTCAATGACATATTTTAACGACACTAAAAAAATATATTAACTATATTAACTAAAATAAAACAATACTATACTAAAATATTAAAGTTAATATTTTAAATGAACTCAATTTTTACTTCATAATTACACATATTTAAATATTTAATTTAAAATATAGTAAATATAATACTATATTAAATATATTTAAATACATGACATACAAATTTAAACAGAAATTACAAAAAAATTATATTTTAGTTTACCATAAACGACAGAAGTACTTAAAAAAAAACAAAAAACAAATGCTAAATCATTCACCAACCCTGTGCAAAGTTATATCCATTTGTAAACGATCTAAAACTTCTGTCATCATTTATTCACCCTCATTACAAACCTATACAACAGAAAAGAATATAAGAGTGTTGGAGTGAAAACATAAGTGGACCCCAATTTTCACTTCAATTAATGAACAAAATATACATAGAGATTTTTCAAAACATCTAAATGAAGGTAGGTAAATGACAGAATTTTTATTTATGGATGAACTATGCCTTTAACAACCATGCAAAGCATGTAAACCTAAATATTTTGTAGGTAACACTTTACTTGAAGGGGTGTGCATAAGACTGACATGGCACCTTCATAATCATGACATGACACATGTCATGAATATGAAGGAGGTTTTATGCATGTTTATGACAACTGTCATTAAGTGTCATTCACTCAGTTATGTCATTTTTAATGCAAATATGACATTATTTTACCTAACCCTACCCCTACCCTTACCCCTAACCATAGCCCATAACAAAGACATCTCAAACAATGTCATCTTTGCATTAAAAATGACATAACTGAGCGAATGACACTTAATGACAGTTGTCATAAACATGCATAAAAATCCTTCATATTCATGACGTGTAATGTCATGATTATGTAGGTGTCATGTCAGTCTTATGCACACCTCTTCAAGTAAAGTGTAACCCTTTTGTATTAATGCAAGCATACTAATAACTACTTGCAAAGAACTGGTTACATGAAGCAAACTACCCACAGCTACATTTGTAAGCACAGCAGTTAAAGCAGCACTATGTAACTTTTGGCGCTCTAGCGGTTAATAAACAGAACTGCACACATCCCGCGGAAGAACATTCCAACCGGAGCTACTTCTCTAAATTTATGTCTATGGCGATTCACGCAGGTATGTGTTACTCCGCAGCGGTGACGACCCGACCAGGCTACAATAGTCCAAATATAAGTACTTATTATAAGTGTACCGCAGTGATTCGGAATAAGACAAAAACGCGGTTTAGAAGATGAATTCATGATGTTCTCGCTCATTATATACATTTTGCAAATGTTGAACACAGAAAAGGTTACATAGTGCTGCTTTCCACCTAGTCAACTTTACAGCTCAAATAACATGCATGAACGCAGAAGATTCCTTTAATTTCAAGGGGCTCATCAATGTGGGATGGTGTTACTCCTTGAAAGTGGAGAGCCGTGCTTGTTTTAGTGTTATGTCAGATGGCTCGTCTTAATCATTCAGATCACTGCACATTCATGGAAACTCAATCTCGCACAGAAGCGGGCAGCAATGCAAGCCTAAACTCATCCCTGGTCAACTGGCACACATGGAAGCATCTTAGTCCATTAAGTAGATGCAGCTGCTACTCTAAATGCTCTTTTCAAAATGTGGGAAATGGTCTTGATGAAGCGTTGGCTGTGGTGGTAACTCAATGGCTATATCAGTCCGGTTCTGTATCGGGAAAGAAATATGGTTCCTCACCTCCATGCCTGGCATCTAAACAGATTTGTATGTGGTTGTCTCCGGACAGAAGCTCCTTTAGAACAGCGAAATCGAAGATGTTCCTCAGTGAGTTGGCATAGGATTCGACTGGATCCACAATTTCCACTGCCATGACAGAATATTGACAGGACATGCATCCATTCTGTTCATATCTCTTAAAAAGATGATATCAACAGCTCAGAAGTTGCACATGTTGTCACCTGTAAAAGGTTTGAATTTGTTCTCCAGGTCGAAGGACTGCTTGCCGATAGTCCCCAGATCGACTCTGAGTTCAGGACAGATGGCAAGCTCCTCTATGGTTCTGCTCAACTGGAAGATTTTATTTGTGACAGCCTCTGGTGCTGGACCTGTATGGAGGAATTATCAAGAACTCAAATAAAACAGTTCATTAAAGTAGATGTTGTAAGACTGGGTCTACTTTATGTTATTTGATCTGTGAAGAAGGTTCAGATGTAGATTTCACCCCATATATATATATATATATATAAATAAATTGCTTGAAGAAAATGAAGCTTACATTACATTTATATTGTGACTTCTTCATGAAAATTGAGTACATTTCATTCCCTAATTTTTTATTATAGTAAAACCAAAAATTGTGCATTTATTTTAAATTGTGTGTATTGTTTTTAAACATACACACACACACACACACACAATCAAAAAAACTGAAAATACAGAAAAACTGTAATATTGTGTTAAAATGATTTCAATTTAACATAACTTTTTTATTTTAATGATGTCAAAGCTGAATTTTCAGCATCATTACTCCAGTCTTCAGTGTCACATGATCCTTCAGAAATCATTCTAAAATGCTGATTTGGTGCTTAGGAAACATTCCTTATTTTTATCAATTATGAAAACAATCGGAATGTTTTTGTGGAAATCTTGATTTTTTTTTTTTTAGGATTTTAGCATTTATTTGAAATAGAATTTTCAGTAACATTACGAATGTCTTCACCTTTACCTATCATCAATTTAATGCATTCTTGCTGATTAAAAGTTTCTTTAAAACTTTTTTAATTTAAAAAAACAAAACTTACTGACTCCAAACTTTTTAATGATAGTGTATTATAAAGATCAATGTGGGCTTTTCAATGACTTAATAATATTATTTTACTTTTGGTTAAATTAAATTAAATATACTGCATTACAGTAATGGGAATCTAATGAAAATCAACACTGAGAATATTGCGATATACAAATTAACTCTAATGTAAAATGTCATATGAATAGTATAATAGAATAGTAATTTGAGTGGAATCATGCTAAACTGCCACAAAAACAAAGTCACTAGGAATTAATGCTTTATGATCATAACTTGAGCCTCATTTTAGGTACATATCTTATTTCTGTCATTGATTTTTGGGTGAAATATGACATCTTTCCTTCATCTTCATAATCACATGTGAGCCATTTTACCTCCACTGGCAGTATTGAATTTGATGCCGAAGTCTCCGTCAGGTCCTCCAGGGTTGTGACTGGCTGTGAGAATAATGCCACCGATAGCTTTGATCTTCCTGATGACACACGACACAGCGGGTGTCGACATGATGCCATTCTGACCGATCACAACATGACCCACCTGAGAAATTCACCAGCCCATGTTAAATAAAACACCAACTGTAACTGGGAAATAATATATAGATTTTTCTTCATAACTTTGCAACTACATGTCAACTAGCAGTCATTACAGTATTAGTAGATTGCCTGTTTAAAACCTGCTAACACTTTATTTTGATGGTCCCCCAACAGACATTCTACTAACTATATAAGTATCTCTGGAAGTACATCTCAACTAACCCTAGCCTAACAGTCTACTAATACACTAATGAGAGTTGGTTATAGACGTTGAAAATTAATGGGAGTTAGTTGACATGAAGTTGCAAAGTTGCTCATAGTTAGTAGAATGCATTAAGTGGACTGTCAAAATAAAGCGTTGAAATAAATTTCAGCTGGAAATTAAAGAATGTTATAATAAACTCTTTCATTAAAACACAAGGTATATCTAGACTTTCAATTGCATATAACATCCGAATGGAGGCCAAAGCTGAGCACAACTCAAGTATCTGCTCTAGTATTGCACTTCACTCAGCATGTTTTTTTCCGCCTGTGCCAGATCTAATTGGCAAAATTAAAAATCTTGCGATTGCATCAAGAATAAATATCTTTTGCGGCAAATTTAGAACTGGAAAGTGGTGAGCAACAAACTAGCTCCATTAAAGCTTCTTCCCTATTTCTTGCCATCAAAATATAGGAACATAAAGTACAATTTACCGCAAAAGATACAGTGCAGGTGTAATGATGCATTTGAATGACAGGTGTCTATAAGGATGTGTGAGATTCAGAAGCATAAAAAATGATTTTCAAAGATTATTGGAGTTTGTTTTACATGAAAATATACTATATACTAATACTTTTTTATTCTTTCTGCTTCAAAATTTCAAAGTTCATTCAATGTGTTACTTACCACTTCAAATTATTTGTGAAATGTAATCATTTCTGAGTGAAAACTGATTCTACACTGAATTTGTTCAGTGTAGGGTTCCTCATAAGAAAACATACTGTAAGAATCGCAACTGACCCCATTAGCGGCAGCCATCTGCACTATGACCTGAATGGCAGTCGAATTGAAGTAGCGTCCATCTCCACCCACCACCATAGTGGAGCCCTGCCTGTCCCGCAGGTCGATGGAGGAGAAGATGCATTGAATGAAGTTGTGCAGGTAGTACTTTTCAGACTGGAAAACATGGGTCTTCTTCCTCAGGCCGTTGGTTCCAGGCCTCTGGTCAGGGTACGGAGAAGTAGGCAAAGTCAGCACTTGCAAGGGACTATCGTTCATTGCTCCAGTCCGTTGAGGAAGAATGAAGGAGAAGCTGTTAGCTCCTCTCAGAGGAAAGAGAAAGAGAGAGTGACTGGCACGGGAGGAGAAGGAGGAAAAGCCTTGTGCCCTTATGGCATTCCCCAGAGTTGGATTGAGGCTACAGGCTAAAAATAAACTTGGTAACCGAAGACGGCTTCTCACACATGTGCATGGAGATCACTGTCAGACAAGCTCGCCTCCAGAGGCCTGTTGAGGCAGATGCATAAGATGACCAGCGAGGCCTCATTCATGTGCGGTATTTACTCAGCATTTACTCAGAAGCTAAATAGAGCTGATGCTGAGTGAATAAGCCCGGGATGATCTGCCTGTAAACGCTACATGAGTTGTTTTGACATATGCTAAATCTCCCAGGATAATTCAAGATCCGTGGCTAATGAACAACGTGCCATATAGCTTGATAACTAGGTGGCGTTTGGGGGCAGTATAAGAGTGGTTTGGGTTTTGACTGCAGCACCTCTACAATCCTTAAGGATGAAATTTCTGCGTTGATGTGTTGATCGTAACAGGTGGTTTAGCTGGCTCCAGAATGAACCGAATAAAAAAAGACCCAGGGAAGTTCTTACTGCAACAAGACCAGGTCAGTTGGGAAAAGAAAGGAAAAAAGACCTTTCAGATACAAAAAAGGCTCACACTGTGGATTTTCTGTTTTTACAGTGATAATGTATTTGCTCTTGGCAGATAAATTTGCTACGCTGCTGTTGCTACAGAGCAAGTACGGAGAATTGCTAATGCCAATGCATCCACAGACAAGCTGCTATGAGCATGCAAGACATACTGCTACCACACAAATGTCAAATTTTACAAAAGTTACCTATAGTAGATCTAGACAGGTGGAGCTGGGGGAGGTAGAGGGTTTCTGACAGTGTGCTGCAAGACTTGATTACAACAAACACTGAACCAAACTTTTTATGCCATGTAGTGATGATGTGATTCCTAGCAGGACCTATCAGATGCACCATCTAGAGTTTCATGACTGAACTAGATATGTGTCCCCATTTTTTTTTTATTACTGATTAACAGGATACTGAAGTTGGTCATATTTTATTAAATTTGATTGATTTCTTCTGAATATCAGCACATATACCACACATTTTGATGTGTTATATAAAATAAAATATAAAATAAATCGGTAACACTTTAGTTTAGGGACAAATTCTCACTATTAACCAGTTGCCTATTAGCACACTAGTATATTGGCTGTTTATTAGATCGGCGTTTGGTATCGGGGCATTTTAACGAGTACGAGTACATGAGACCAGTATCGGTATCGGTGCATCCCTAGTAATTATAAAGCACATATTAATGTCTTATTCTGCACGACCATATTTTAGATCTCTTAACCCCATTCCTAAACGTAACAACTAACTTAAGTATTAATAAGCAGCAGATTAGGAGTTTATTGAGGCAAAGTTCATCGTTAATAGTGGTCTCCAAACTAAAGTGTGACCAATGAATCCAATTCTGTCTTTTTTATGGAAATAAAATATACTTTAACTTTATTAGTTTCTGTCCTATTCCCAATTTTTATATGCAGTTTCTGTCTCTACATTATCTGTTTAGCTGTTTGGCAGTCTGGAAAGGAAAGAAGTTCATCTTAGTGCTCCAACTGGCCAGGTTTTATGATCGTGACTCCATCTTTTAGCATTGGTGCCTGTGGTTAAAGTTGTACCAAATACACATATTAGCTCTGTTATAGGATACAATCATAAAGATCAATTTACAGAAAGAAAAAAAATAAACTTTTGTTCTTGGCACATGCACAGCTCTCCGTGGTGTGTTGTATGACAATTACAGCCTTGGTACCTACATGAGGAAAAGGAAAGCCTCAGGAAAATATGATTTCCCTCATTGTAGTCTTTTTAAATGATAAAAAAACAATCATTTATCATTTTGTAAAAATTTCTGTTGCCCAAATGGCACCAATTTGCATGTAGAGTTAACACAGCTCTACTGTATGTACTGTTTTACTGAACTTGAATTGAAAATGATTGCAATTATTGGCAGTGCTCAACAGAGGGCGATACTGCATCAGCTATGAACATCATTGCTATTGCTCTCTCTCTCTCTCTCTCTCTCTCTCTCTCTCTCTCTTTCACAATGTATGTTCCGCTGAAAATTCCTCTGATTTTATTGCTATTTTTTTATTTTATTATTATTTTTTTATTTTTACCATTTATTACATAAGATGTTAGAAATTCAGCAAATGATAAGCCATCTGATCATTTTAAATACATGTTTATAAAACGGAGAGTTCCGGTGCTTGATTCTGATTTGTTGAGCCAAGTTTGAAGCTGTTGTAAATTACTCTACAAACATACACCTTTTTTTTACTTCTGTGTGTTGCTCGGCAACCACTTTGTTGGAACCACAACATTTTCTGAGGCACTACATTGTTTGGCTGAAGAATAATGTTTTTATTAATATCATTACACTTTATTTGCTCTGTTTTATTTTGTGAAACCTTACTACGTATATGGAATAACCGTTTTATAAAAGCAATAAGCCCCGTGAAGCCGTGGTTTACAGTGAACTCCGCTTCGCGTCGTGCCTAACAATGCCCCTTAGCGGTTATAAATTCACTGTAAACCACGGCTTCTTGGGGCTTATTGCTTTATTGAATGAAATATAATGTAGAATTTAATGTTAACAAAATAATGAATAAAAATATATATACTGAACAAAATTATAAACGCAACACACCTGTGCAATAATCATGCTGTCTAATCAGCATCTTGATATGCCACACCTGTGAGGTGGATGGATTATCTCGGCAAAGGAGAAGTGCTCACTAACACAGATTTAGACAGATTTGTGAACAATATTTGAGAGAAATAGGCCTTTTGTGTACATAGAAAAGTCTTAGATCTTTGAGTTCAGCTCATGAAAAACGGGGGCAAAAACAAAAGTGTTGCGTTTATAATTTTGTTCAGTGTATGTACTGGAAGTAGTGCAAAAATAGCAAAAGCTGTACAACTGTGCATATGACATCTTGAGGTCAATGTGACTCATTTAAACACATGGCTGAAAGTGGCTCTCAGAAGGTTAAATGAGAGGTTTCCTGGTTGGACTCTTTACAATGTAATTAAGATGACTGGTGGAGAAACTGAATCATGTGGAGCTCACTGGACTAATCACAGTGTAAATGTCCCATTTTTACTTTTTTTTACTGCATCATATTGATAGGTTCATACTCATCAATGGGAACTTTGTCATGTCCATGAAACGGTTACTTTGTAAAAACCAAGATGCAATTGTTCAGCATGAATGCAATCATATGTGCTTCTGCTCATACTGTTGATATTAAGGGGGTTGTGGCTTTGTGAGATGACTAATGGAGATTTTTGAGGCCTTGAAGCTGGTGGTTCCCTTGCCAGGTTTCCAGTGGGTTCCCTTTTTACGAGGTCTGCTCTGAATACACTTGCCATTCAGGTTAATGTCGCCGCAAATGCTAAACCACCACCCACCTAAAGGAAACAGAGAGAGAAAAATAATTTAGTTTGCAATTTCCAAGCACACTATTATTCAAAAGCACTGGGATTACCTCAAAAATAGGTATTTACAACAAAGTCGCTACTTGATATATTAGTTTTGCACAGAAACACTCAATGAAAAGGTCTGCTTATGATCGCATGTACCTGTGTAGTCTTGAGCACAGTTTGGATCACGGTTTCCATCGTTGTGGTCTTTAGTGGAGAACCTGAAGCCACTGTGTTCATCCAGAGCAGAGCTGGATTCACCGGTCTGCAGCTTCAGATGGATGGTGTAGTTGAAGGCGGCGTCCTCCAGGATATACTGATAAAGCATGAAATGCTTCTCCTTCCTCCAGTCCTCAATCTGGACATGCAGGAGCGAGTGTCCCTGATGGGCAACAGCATAGATCTTCTTTAGCCCCAGCCAGAACTCACCTACAAAACACAGACATCTGAGACATCCAGCTCTCTGTATAATAGTATTATAAATCACTTAATATTACATTGGAGTACTATGGCAGTCCAATATCATAATATACAGGTGTATGGTATAATATAATTAACAGTAGTTCAGATTATTTGATAAACATCACCCTTTTTAGTAGACTGTAAAAAATTTTTTTTGATAAACATCACCCTTTTTAGTAGAATATAAAAAATTTTTTTCCAAAAAAAAAAAAAAAAAGACTATTGGAGAACCTTAGATTTTTTTTCTTTCTTTTTTTTTTAAATCTTTTTTTTATATATAACATTTTTTTTACCATTAGTTTCACGTTTCACTAGTTAAATGCTTGTTTAGCTTATTTTCACTGACCTTCAAAAGTACAGATTTTTTAAAAAGATTTTTTATTTTTATTATTATTATTTTTTAATATTATTGTTATTTCTTACCACTAGTTTCACTAGTTAAGGGTAAATGCTTGTTTATCTTATTTGCACTGACCTTCAACCACTTAGTTTAAATTTAAATTTCATTAAATTTTAAAAGTAAAATATTTTAGAATATTTAATATTAATTGCGGGGAACACAGAAACGGAATAATTATTTGCAATACTACCAGAATTTCAGTATATGAATTCCAAATAGCCTACTCTGACACAAGGCTGTAACCACATGCGTGACCAGATACTATATTTCTTCTGAAAGTTTTTATGCCAGGATGTCTCATAAGAACATACTGGGACAAGGAAGGCAACATTATAAAAGAGGAATGCTTGTCAAATTGGACATACTGTGAAATTATGTAGTAAAAAGATACTAAAAGTAAGGCGTTAAGATTCAGACTTCTCAACACCAATCACAGAGCGCTCCATTGTGCTCTACTCTATAATCACAGACTGAACACATTCAGTTTATGAGCACAACATTCTTGATTTAGCTCACTGCTGAAGTCCCCAAATCCATCCTCATACTTCTCCCAGGACTGGTTGAAGTCTACAGAGCCGTCATGTCTGCGCTGGATGACAGTGAACACTCCCTCTGTGGATGACAATATCACAAAGAGACTGTCATCTTAAAGTTTTATGAGAATCTCTTTTCTGTGGA